AAAAAGGATTTTGCAGGGATTAATTAACCAATTCTTGTCAAGTACATAGAACAAGATTGGAGCAGTACAATTTTTGGTCTTGTTTGTTATTTATTTGCCAATTGCATAGAACAAGATCAGAATAGTGCTGTTTTTGGTATTGTTATTTTTAGTCCTGCAGGACTTTGCCTAATTTCTCAGCCACTTCCCTCCCATGTTCTCCATTTCTCCCGACATGGACAATGGCAGAACTTTCATGTACTACGGAGTTACTAGCCACTCCAAAAGCCATTTCCTTCAGCACAGCACATTGATGATATAATTAGAGGGCAAGGTCGGTGTGAGCTCCAGGTGCTTAGCAAAGTGAACATATGAACAGAAGAAGAAAGTCATTTGCCTAAGTAGAGCTTGCAGGTCCTCCTTGTCTCTTTTCTATGGGAAAGATGGTTTCTTTTCTCTGCCAAAGTAATGCTTAAACCTCCAAATTAATTTATGGCCTCACCATAGTCCTTGCCGATAGCAGCAAAAATGATTTTGTTTCAGAGAGCTGGGCAGCCAATTCCAGCTCTTCATGGTAAGGAAGGCGACATTCCCAGGCATAGTAGAGCAAACACCGTGAGAGGAAAAGTCACTCCAAAGAAACTGGATCTAAGAAGGACCAGGCCACTGGTTCCCTCTGGCAGAGACTGGGGTCAGCATTGGGAATAAGATGGCAAAGGAGGACAGAGATGGGGATGTGGGGTTTTTGCCTCCAGAAGTAGGGTCAAGAGAAGAGTAGGGCCCCTGGAGCATTGGATGTGTGTGTGTGGCCAAGTCCCCCGGTTTCTGAGGTTTTCTCACCCACTCATTAGGTGAAGGATCCAGAAAGCCACTTTCAGATGGTTTTATTAAACCTGCCAAGGCTCAAAGGCTACAGAATAAGGCCACGTGATGATCAAGTTCATTGCTGGCTTTCAGCAAGTCTGACCCGGTGCATATACAAAGATGCCAACCCACTTTACTTCAATAAACGTAATTTGGACAAAAAAAAAAAAAAAAAGAAAGTCAAACATAAATCTCCATGTTAGGAATTCTGACTCTAGGAATTTAGCCAAAGAAGATTAACCTCCCCAAAATGTGGACATGGGTTTATGAGTGGACAGTGGTTGTATAAATGACAGGGCATTCATCATGCTCACAGAGCTATGAGCAACACCCATTTAGTGAATATGCTCTATTTGCTATGTATTATCTTGATTAATTCCTACAATGTCCTGTGAGGTAAGCACCATTGTTGCAATTCTAAAGGTAAGAGAACACAATCGTTGAGCAACTTACCGGTGGTCACACAGCTAGCAAGTTCAGCACTAGTTTGAATGAGTCTGGTGGTTCTCTGAAAAGTCATCTTGTATCCCTTCCTGCATGCAGCGATTCCAGCAAGCCTCCAATATTTACACTTGCAGATGTCAAGTAGTTTTTGCTCTTGTGACCCTATCTCTATGTAGGACCCTATCATATTAAGAATTGAAACAGAATTTGTACAAAACAGTATTAATTTTCCTAAAATAATATAATTACCCTATAAAAATTAGCATAACACATTATCATCAAAGATGTTTCTAAAACAAACAAACAAAAAAAGGAGTGAGTGGCATTGATTTACATTTGTGCATGTCTCACAGCTGCCTTGTTGGCACACAGCTGCATTCTCTTATCTGTGTCAGTATTCAGTCTGTTGCAAGAAGTTTGTTTTATTGTATTGTAGGAAGCCAAGTTCACAGGTGTATGTACTTGCACTGAAAACGTTTTAGGGACCCCAAAGGATCCTCAGACCACAATTTGAGAACTGTTGCCCTCTTCATCTGTATTATAGTCACATCTCACTCTACTTTTGGTTTTGAGGTTCCGAACATGCCTCAGGGAATCCTTTAATTGGGAGGGTTGCACCGGATAGTCTCTGGCACCTTTGCATTGCTAGAATGATCACTGTTTGGACAGCCACTGTGTGTGGGACCCCAGTGAATGCGTGTCCCCATCTTTAACTGGGGTGACATTCAGGCGGACCACTGAACTGGGATCTGTCAACTGGAGTCTGAGACAGGGAGTTCGCACCACCGGTTACACACATCCTCTTCATTTGACATGTGCTATACAACGACCCTATGCTTGGACAGAGGAGCAGGATGGTGGAGAAGTGCCTGTCTTCTAATACACCCTTGAGTAGAAGGTTAATGTGGGAAGAAGAACAGTTTTTGGGCGGGGCTCCCCGTGCAGGTCATGGTTTACCAGAGAACTCTGCCCTCACCCAAAAGCTGTTTTTCGCTTTTTCCCAGGCCAAGCCCTGTGAGTCAGATGGCAGTTATCAGTTTCTGAAAAAAGTTGCCTTTATGTTCCCAGGAAGCACTCTGATTGTTGGCATAGATCATGTTGGTGGCAGAGCAGGCATAAATTAACCAGATCCTCTGGGCTCACACCCTCCTTCAAGTCATCTGCTGGTGACTTCTGGCAGAAACAAGGTGTTTGTGAAATCTCACAAAGCCCTGGATAATTAAAGTGTTTGGCTGAGTAGTCATTTCTTCCCCCTCCATCTTGGAGGAGATTTTCAAACAAAATGTGCTCTTTTCTCCAGTTAAGGGCCAATTATCCAGCCTGTTTGTGCTTTTTATCTTCTGATCCCCTTTACTTGGGGCGTAATGCCACACTGAGGAGTCCAGAAGGTGGCTTTGCGTGCCAGTCCTGGATTCTTTCTGCCTTTGGTGGGTAACTGACTTGATTCATGACTATTGGAGTTTCATCCCTCACTGCCTTTGTGTAAGTGCATCTGGGTGTGACATGGAAAAGAAGGCAGAGATTGGCACTACTGTCGTGGCTAGAGTTGCATTTGGACTGAGTTGGAGACTAAATCAAGTAGATGAATAAAAGCATTGGCCTCAATTGGAGACTAACTCAAGTAGATAAATAAAAGCATAGAAACCAAATGTTTGTGTCTTTCCAAATTTTGTATGTTGAAATGCTGACCCCCAATGTGATGGTGCTATGAGATGCAGCATTGGGAACTGTCAGGTCACGAGCCAGAATCCTCATGAATGATATCAGTGTCCTTATAAAAGAGACTTTTTAAGTACTTCAATAAAAGAGATGTTTTTGAATGAACCAAAAAGTTGGTTCTAGCCAGACACCAATCTGCCTGCACCTTGATCTTGGACTTCCCAACCTCTAGCACCATGGGAAATACATTTCTGTTGTCTATTCACCCAGGCTACAAGTATTTTTTATTTGAGCCCTAGTGGCTTAAGAAAAAACCTAAGTACAAAAGATCATGTACTTAGAGTTGAGGATATCTGTCTGGGGACTACATAACAAGATCCAGATTGCACAGCTGAGATGATATCGAACAGTTATGAACTGACTCCATGCCAGTAATCTATGCCAGCAGGTCCTGAGCATACAAATATTATAATCACAATAGTAGCAGTATAGTCATAACATTCCACGAGAGCTTACATGCCAGGCACTGTTCAACGAGACTTCTATATATCAACTCACTTCATCATTCCATTTATATCTATGGGAGTTACTGCTCTTCCATTTACAGATGACCAAATCAAGGTACAGAGAGGTTAAGCAATTTAGTGCAGTTTGTGAGTGACAGAACCATGACTTGGTCCAAGTAGACAGTCTCTAGAGCCCATGTTCTACACTGAGAGTCCCATGGGCAACATAGAAGGACCATGCGTGAAACTGGTTCAGTGGAGTTAATGGCAGGTGAAGGGTAAACAGCTCTGGGACAACGAGAAGCCTATTCCAGCTGGTTATAGTGATCTGTGCTTACTTCCTAAAGGAGATGATGGAGCCAATAGGTGTTGCATTAGGAAGATTGATATCTGGGACCTAAGGAGATTAAGCAACATGACTTGCTCCATGTCAGTTAGGTTAGGAAAGGCAAACTGGAATAGGGATCACATGTGTTTTATGGAGAATGACTCCATGGATCTATCCACAGTTTTCTACTGAGTTCTACATGGTGAAATCTGATAAAGGCATAACTCTGATAAAATCAGCATGACAATTATGATATATGAATTGCAGCTCAGTAAAGCTGTTCTATATTTTTAAATCTAGCATATTCTTAGTGGCCATAAGTTACTTCTAAATACTATTGTTTTGATAAAATTAAAAAAAATATAAGTCACAAAGGATCCTTGGAGAAATGGCATCTCCTAGGGCAAAGCAGAGGCAGTAGAAGATGAGCCTGGATAATCTTCTAGTGGCAGAAATTAAAAGAGTGCTCAAGAAACAAAGGGGT